GGGGGGGTGGGGGGGGGGCCAAGCCCTAAATTTAACATCTGTACTTGGATTTATCCCTGAAGTGCAGTTAATACCTACTTCTTGTCAAGCGGCTTGAGATCTAAAAATATGTAGTGCTTCTTCTGGATTTCATAAGCAGAGCTAGGGGTGTTAGACATCACTTTGCTTCAGCCCTTTGCTTTGGTGGCACTTGAGCTTTGCCTTCTGGCGGGTAGGACAGCATCCCATCACTTGGGTAGTAGGCTAGATTACTCCTGTGAAAGAAACACTGCACTCAGTTCGGGTGCATCTACACTGCATCTTTACCTCAAAATAAGCTACACAATTTGCATAATGCAAGTTGCGTCGCTTATTTCAAGGTAATTTTGAAATAAGCTATCCAAAACTTCTCTTAACCCTTGTGGAATGAGGCTTACGGGGAAGTTGGAATAGCAGGCCCGTTATTTCAGAATAATGGGCACACTCAACTGATGTGGAATCACAATTTCGGGATACTTTTGGTATCCCAAAATAACTCCGCAGTATAGCTGTAGCCGTAAGGTTAGAGGTAAATCTTTGTTGAATTCAGTGGGGGAGGGGAAACCCAGGGCACAAAATGTAAATACAAGTTTGCTTTGCTATGTGTTTCCACCTTTTTTTAAAATTTGAAGAGTAAAAAGCATGCTTTTTAGAAAGACTTTAGTTGTATACGGTCCAAGAAGTCTCACAAACTAGTCATAACTCATACTAAACCAATTAGCCATATGAACCTCAATCAATCTAGAACTCCAGACTGGCAGACAAACATTTTGAGTTCTGACCTTGGCTTGAACCCTGATTCTAGACTATGGCAGTGGGCAGGTGACTAAACTTCTGTGGCTGATGTAGCCTGTTTGCTCCTCTGGAGATTAGAGATGTAAGGGACTTGTCGAAGTCGACTATCTGATAAGCAAGCCTAGGCTTGAGTAGAGTCACTACTGAACTAGATGCTTCCCCCGCCCCCTTTGCTGCCTCTGTATCAGGGGAGTAGGGACCGGTGCTGGGTGGGGTGCTGGCTTAAAAGCCCACTCCCCCAGCGCTGTCTCCACGGCAGGGTGGAGAGGCAGAGGTGCAGTAGGGGACCCAGGGGTTGTGCCGGGTCCCAGAGCAGATCCACAGCAAACCCCATTATTAACTAATAGGTTAGCGTACTACCTGCTATTGAACATCCCCTATTGGAGACTGGGAGTAATGATGCTTGACTGTTGCAAAGAGGTATTAGAATGATTTCACTAGCTAATGCCTGTAAAGTCCTCTGAAGATGAGGAGCTGCATGTTTTCCTAGTTTCCAAAGATGTCTGCTATTATTACTGCAGGTAGTTGATCCATCTAAGGGAATTGCCGATGTTCCAGAGTGGTTTAAAGGCAGTCGACTCAACTATGCAGAGAACCTTCTGAAGCATAAGGAAAAAGAAAAAATTGCTCTCTATGCAGCAAGTAAGTATTTAATTGTGATTTTATCTATTCTTCATTTGTGATAAAGTGAATTTGGCCAACTAAAATGAGCTTGCTGCTTTTTTTTTTTTTTTTTTTTTTTTCTTGACAGCCCCCCTGCTTTTTTTTTCTTGACTTTGATAAAGGGGCAGGCAGAGAGAAATTCAGCCAGCATCTGCCCATATTTCCTACCGTGGACGAAGGTGAGATGTCTCAGAGGGGTAGCCGTGTTCATCTGTAACTTTAAAAACAAGTAGTTCTGTGGCACCTTAGAAATTAACAAAAATAGATATCAGGCATTTCCTGGGTAAAACCCACTTCATCAGATGATGAATCAGCTGTTTGTGGCATTCCAGCTCAGGTACTTGTAGTGCATGGGGCACAGACAGGTGGTTAATAGGGCTGAAGGTGGAACCCCAGTGGGCCACGGGCTACTGCGGATCATTGAGGTGAAGGAGGGCTACTTATTTGGCCCATTCCTGATGGCTCCTCCCTGCCCTAGGGACTGCTCAAGCTTTGCTGAACCAGAAATATGGTGGTGTTTTACTGTTTTTGGTTAGCACCATCAACCCTTTCATTTAATTGTCTCCTTCCAGCATGGTTGGGATTGCTATTATAAGTACTAGGATCTTTCTGATACCCTGATCTACTACCTTAGATATGGTCAGATTTGGGGAGTTTAAAATAATTTTTTGGTATTACAGAAAGAAAGGATTGGGGGGGAGGAGAACTCCAAACTTCAATGTGCAGGAACATTAAAGCTCAGTACTGATAAATCTTCCCCATTGTAACAGGGTACATTTTCAAGAAAATCAAAGTTTCAGGATAATGGATGGAATCCTTTATTAAGGGATGTTTATTTCTCTATTCATAAAATTGAGGTTTAGTTGTGATTTTTACAAAAATGCTGAACCAATGCTTGCTGCTTTTTAAGTCTTTAAATCACTAATAAACATCAAAGTGAATTATATGAACTGAGCTAGGGCAGGGAGAGTCCACCAGGAATGGGCCACAAGTAGCCCTCTTTCACCTCAGTGGGCCGCAGCAGCCCATAGGCCAGTGGGGTTCCACCTGCAGCCCTATTAACCACCTGTCTGTGCCTCATGCACTGCACTTACCTGTTCCTCCCCCCACCTGCCCAGAGCTGGAATGCCAGAAACAGCTGGAATGCAGCAGCTCCTATACATTTGAATGGGAACCGGCACTAGTGGAGTGCAAAGCAGTCCCCACTAGCATGAGTTCCCCTCTGGGAACTCCAGCTGATCCTGGGCTCCTGTGGTGTTGCCCCTTTGAAACACACAATTAATCGCGATTAATTTTTTAATCGCTTGATAGCCTTAATATATACAAAACAAACTGAATAGTGCAGTTCACTTTTTTCCTTTAAAAAGATCTAACCCCTTCTAGTCCCTCATGTATATCAGGTTTGTATCTTATTTTATCTCCTTCCCTCGCAATTTTTCGTACACATAACTGATAAGGAGATAATCTAATTCAGTGGCTCTTAACCTGGGGTGCACACATGCCCTTTCTGGGGGTGCGAGACATGGCAGATTTTTATCTTAGGTTTAAAACTGACCTACTTCAATGATTTTTAATAAGGGGTGAGAACATATTTTGAAAACCAAAGGGGGGTGTAGGCTGCAGTAAGGTTAAGAACCACTGATCTAATTTTAGGTGTGTGGTAGCTCCTTACTGAATTGTATTCTCAACTCTCTGTGTAGCGTTAGTCAGACCTAATCCTTCTACTGAGGACTGGCTGAGACACATGCGCCTTTAATTGCTTAATAATAATCAAAGACCCTGAACGCTTCAGTTATACAAAATACAATTTAAATTGTAGACTTGTTATTGGAATTGTAGAGTCTGGGTGGCATTCTTCTATTTTTGAATATGAACAATTATTTTTTTCCCCTTTAGATATATTGCTGATTACAATAAGTTAAAGCACAGACGAACCATCTGCAGTATGTATGCTAATTCAAAAGGACTAGTATTAGCAGCTGCCTTTAGTTTCTTCATTTAATTAAAACAAATATCTATAAAATCTATGCTGAGCTGAGAGAGTGGCAACATCTATAACCTGGTTAAGCTGCAACAAGAAGCTGTCTGGTAAAGTGTGATTAAAAATGAGACTTTTGTGTAGTTGAATATTCAGAAATCAACTCATCACTTAGATTTTTGCTTAAGAGCTTTAGAAATATTTTCCATGTATTAAAAAAAATGCAGTTGTTTTCAAACTCTCTGCAATGGCTGCAAGGCAAACAGCAGTAGGTAAATCTGTGAAATCGACGTGACTCTCGTCTCAGTGAAAAAGTTAAGCAAAATGGTGTAATTAGTGAAAGGAAAATAACTTCTAAAATTCTTTCAGCTCTAACAATATAAGCAATTACTAGTTGGTTAACATATGATGTCACTTATGTAGTGATTAGCTTTGTTTGTTCTGTTAGGTGTATCACTTTGCTTAGCTTAACTCCATGAAACGTCAGCAGAGAAAATATTTCCTGGATGTCAGGATAGTTTTCTAAAACATCGTTATAAATCTACACTATTATTGATTTTCATCATGGACAAGTACTGTGTGAATGCCATGAGTATCAGTACTGGGAGTATTGAGTTGCAGCTGCATCTCTATTCCAGACCATTTTCTGTGTATAATCCTTTTAAGTAGTCTTAAATCAGTATATTTGAACTTCTCACTGCTGTGTCAGAATGGAGCTTTGGGAATGTGGTGGTTTTTAGCAGTCACTGGTGGTAATCTTGTAGAATGACAGATTATTAAATGCAACTTTTATTAATGTCTGCCCTTCTATACAGACCTTTAATTTGGATTGTATCTTGGCTCTGGTAAGATTTCACACATTTGGCTGTGTGCTTTTCTTCCTCTTGCAAGGTTAGCTGCTGATGGACTCTACTTCAGTAGTCTATGGGCAGCTAAACTTGCCAAAAAAAAAAAAAAAAGCAAATATACTCTACTATAGCAGTTACACTGAGTAAAGCCAGTTTTCTAGTATACACACTATAAGACTCAACATCATTAGTGCAATTTAATTGCCCCAATCCTGGCCTTGTTTATATTTGTTAAGAATTCTAGGCCTTTGATACAGACGGGGGAGCCAAGAGAAGACAATTACAATTCATAACTCTTAGACATTTAGTTATATTATTTAGCCAATTTATTAAGGCCTTTTGTAACACCTGGCCTTGAATATAAAAAAATTAAAACTCCTGACAGTTTCTCTTGTGAGATTAAACCTGGTCCAGATTAACATAATTGCATTGGAGATGTGCCAAGAAGAAAATTCTGCTGTATTTTTGGGGATCCTAAAATGCTAGGTGTCCCAAAGTAGATCCTAACTGAAACATAAATAACAGTATCAGACATTTCTTTAATCACACAATGACAGGAAAATTTAAATAAAATTTAACTTTAACAAACACCTGATTTTTTTTTTTTGTTTTGTTTTTTGTTGTTTGTTAGCTTTAAGAAAATCGGACAGCAGACTTGTCTAGGTCAGAATGGCACGGGAAAGTTTATGCTAGAAATTTTAAACAAATGCTCTCTGACTCTTGCCTAGCTACAATCAACAATTTACAGTTATACAATCCTGCCCTGTAGGGAGTGAATCCTATCCATTAATACAGAGGCCTTATTACAACAGGCTTTGCCCAGAATAAGAATATTGTTCAAGGCTAGTGTTAACAATAGTCAGAGCTTTTTCCTCAAAATAGCATTTTAATCTCTGTTTCCCTCAGGATGAATACTTTGCAGTGTACCGCAGTGATTCTTAGATTGCAGTGTACCGTTTCTAATTGATTTCTGTTGTAAACCTTGTTTCTTCAGAGGAAGGCAAAGAAGAAATCTTGAAAGTCACTTTTGAAGAACTAAGACAGGACGTTGCTTTGTATGCTTCAGCCATGAGGAAAATGGGAGTGAAAATAGGAGACAGAGTTGTTGGTAAGTAAACTTTTGGACAGGGCTGGTGAGGAAATATCCCTGAAGTAAAAGAAGTGAGTTGTTGGACATACAAATATAGGAGAAGCACACCAAAGAAAAGACCCTTGTGCTGGTTCATTTATATTGCTATGAATTATGGTTCTGGAGGGATGGAAACTGGTTCAGCCTCATGTTTTTGGTCTCAAGAGGAAAAAGTAAATGATTTTATTCATAACTTTATACTGAGGGCTGTTTCACAACTTAATAAGCCCTCTGTTGAAGTCAAAAGTGAGCAAGATGTAAACAGCCAACTGGTGATTCTGTTAGCAATTGGAGCATGTTAATATTCTCATTGAACTCTCTGCTATTATGTCTTTATTTTGTACCTTTTTTGTCTCATGAACAAAATTTTGGCAAGTGTTATGCAAGCTTCTCTTGTTCCACTGTCAGCATACCTCATTGGTGATTTTTTTTTTTTTTTTTTGCATTCAGATTTCTGATCTGTATAGTATGTCTGAAATATGAGTTTGATCTTTGAATTGTGGAACCCTACCTCTGTTAACACATTGCATGTCATGCTAACTATACAGGCAGTCCCCGAGTTACATAAGTCGGATCCGCGGTTACGAACGGGGCCCTCCCTCTCCCTGGTCTCCAGCAGACCAGGGAGAGGAAGCAAAGCGGCGGAACACGCGGGCAGTGGACAGCCCAGACGCGTCTGTGCTGTCAGCTGGCCGCATGCTCCGCGGCTTTGCTCTGCTCTGCTCTGCTCCCCCTCCTCCTGGTCTGCAGACGAGGGGAACGGGGAGCAGAGCAGAGCAAAGGCACGGAGCCCGAGGGCAGCAGGATAGCCACGGCGCGTCTGGGCTGTCCCGCTGCCTGCGTGTTCCGCGCGGCTACACGGGGCTCAATGATGCACAGTTCTTTCATCTTAGAAGATCTGGGTTCAAATTCTTGCATGTGCTCCACTGCCCATCACCATGCACATCTTAACATTCAATGTACTGTTATGCCACCGCTGCCATCACTCCCAATTCTGAGATGTCTCTTGAGCAGTACTGGAGAACTATGATAAACTTGCATGTTGGTCTTGGGGAGAGGAGTCATAAGTGAGAGTGAGTTTAATTAGTTAAGTGAGCATCAAACCCAGATCTTCAGATAATATTTATCATTATTTACATTGCACTAATGGTAATTCCAAAATCTATAAATGGAAGTAGAGATGAGATCCATGCCTCAAACCTTTTAACTCTAAATGGAACATATACTGTAATATAGGTCAGATAACTGGACCTTCAACTGATGTATCAGCCTCTCCCGTAGTGAGAGGGAAGGGCCCTTATTTAATAATACAAGAAAAAATACTAAGGCCTTAGTTGTATGAAAAGCCTGTCAAATTCATTGGAACTTTTGCATGATTAAGATTTTACATTTACATTTTACATGATTTACATTTTATCCTGGTGGTGTCAGGTGCACTTGCATCTGTATGGTTACCATTCCACCATTTATTTGGGGCATAGAATATCTAACAAGCACAGGCCACGTATGAACTCAGTTCAGGCTTTCCTCTTGCTACTGATTATCACTCCTGCAACTAGTCAAGTCAGTAAAAGTAACAGGAACCTAAACTAATAAAACATGGTTAACTCCAAGCATTAGTGTCCCAATCCTGCAGTCCTAGCATGAGACTCTTCTCATTGGCTTCATCTGGAGGCTTGAATCTTAAGAACTATGACAGGAGGCATATATTGGAATTTCTTTTCTTGTGTTTCGAAAGTAGTAAAAATAGCAAATAAAATTGAAAATTTTAGGAAGAAATACTTGAGTAATCGTGGAAAGAGCAAAATGTTTAATTTCAAGACAGTTTTATTTTTGATACAGATGAATTAATAATTTATCTTCACCTTACTGGGGTCATTCTGTTTACATGTTTTATTCCTTTCTCTTCATAAACCCACTTTTTAATAGCCGTTCAAATTATCTCTCAAGCTATTTCTGCCAACTTAAATTGATCTTCAAAATCAGCGCAAAGGGAGTGTCTCTTCCATTATACTGGCTACATTTTTTATGTAAAGATCTTAGATGCACCAAAAAACCCAATTTTTTTCCTCAAGACTATGCAAAACACTAACAGAGGTTCCTATATGAAGAACAGGTATTTCAAGGGAAACTACATAGGAATCAGTGTCATACATGCTTCCTTATTGCAACCCTAAGAAAAATGGTCCTTTTAGTGATTTATGGCCTGACTTCAAATCCTGAGCATCTAGGAGTTCGTGTCTGACCTTTAATTTTGGGCATCTTATTACATGTGTTTTTTTCAAAATGCCTTTTCCAAATAATAAGGTCAGTTGGATTCAGATTCCAGAACAACAACAAAATAGGAATGGGCTGGGTCAGAACTCTTATGGGAGACCTTCAAAGAGAATCCTAATGTACTGAAGGAAGTGGTGGTGATGCAACTGAATGCAGTCTACTAAGTTAGTACAGAGCCAGTGACCTGTTGCAGTGTTAGGGTGCATTGGTGAAATGAGAGCCTGATATGTACTTTCCAAAGATGAGCTGAGTTTTCACAGAAATAGGGAAGTTAAATAACTACATGGCCTTGGTCAAATTCCAATTGGTATCTAAGTCTTGGAAAGCATCTTCCTTTTTGATAGATGTGTGGAGGGGAGAATGAGATGTCAGTTAATATTTAAAACTACATGTACTCTACTACTACCTTTATAATCAGCTTGGACCTTTGATTGCCTAGCTTCATGTGTTACCCCAGCAATTTATAAAGTGTTACAATTCCTGTCGTAAAATGATATTAGATAGTGGTCTGTTAAACAGCAGTGCACTTCATTGGCATGGTGAGTGATGTGTATGTGTGAATTAGTTAGATGAAAGCTCATCCAGAAAGCTGAGCTCTTAAACCAGAGAACACGATCTATTATCCTATAAAGATGTGCTATGAAGCAAATAATTAATTGCTCTCCATGATGTACAAAAGCAACTTCAAAATAACTCAAAGTATTATATTTTTAATTTTTATATTAGAAAAGGAAGTCTGGTCTTGGCCCTTTCCCTCCCTCCCCTCAAGAATTTTGGCAATCTGTGGAGGGACTGAATTATGACATGAGTGCTGGAGGCTGAAATGAAGGTGGCAGCTGTCCAAATTCTCACTAGAAGATGAGGAGGTATTGAGTATGAATCTGGGAAAGCTGCAGCTCAGATGTTCACACCCACGTGCAATATCCTGTCCACGTCCTCCCAAAGATTGCCACAGTCCACCAAGACCTAACCTGTTTCAAATATTAAAAATAGCATGTAGAAAACCTTTAGTTTGGCCAACCAGCTTTCTATGTTTAAGAACAGCAGTAATGGGCATATTTTTTTCCCCTCTTAGCTATTGTTTCAGATGGGAAGAAGTGCTTTCTGAATGAATGTTAATTAATGCTTTCAATCACCCTCCTGTGATTTGGATGTCATTCTGTGATTTGGATGTCATTCTGGCTCCAGACTCCCTCTTGATCTGCAACCACAGTAGCACAGTTTTGGAGTGTTAGAATTGTAATTGCTTGGAAGCCTAATCTATGAGAGAGTAACCAGCCCATCCAGTTGACATGTTTTTGTAAATGTTTTATTTTTGCCTAGTTGTATCTTGGACTTCAAGCTCTTCAGCATAGGTAAAATGCTCTAAGTACAATGAACACTTGCATCACTACAATAATAAACATGAAGATGGGTGAAAAAAGGCAGCACTCTCAGGGCTTTCTCCTTCAGTTTCTGATCATTATTGATCAATAAGGATGTGAAGTCCTGTTCAGTTGGTTAACTGATTAAACAAGGGTGGGCAGGGTTGGAGTGGCCCCACCTCCCCGGCCGCAGGCTGCTCAGGGTCACCTGGAGTGGCCCCAACAGATTAGCTGTAACCAGTAAGAATGCTTATTGGTTAACTATATACATCTCTATTGCTGGATGTACTTAAAAGCTTAGTTGTGAGGAAAAGACACTTGCAAGCAAGCATTGCTTACCACTGGCTGTGGTAACATCTACCTTTTTTGTCTGGGGATGTTTTGCAGGCCTACTGGGATCTTAAAGGAGGTCATGGAAGCTACCATTAGTACATACAGCATGAAAATAAACTGAGGGTCCCACCTGACTAATTCTGATTATACTGATCTTGTGTTAACCCATGGTCCTTCTGCCACTTGAGTACCACTATTAATGTAGAGCAGGAAATAGCTCTAGCTGGCAAATAATTATGATATCAGGAATAAAATAATGTCCAATTTATTTTTATTTCTTAACTCTGAGTAAATTACTTTTACTGTGCTCCTGTAGAAGGTCTTATCAACCAACAAACTCTCAACTGTATTCAACAAAAGAGCGTTGCATTATATTGTTTAAAGCTAGTACAAGTTGCTAGGGCTAATACAATGTTTAATAGTCTTCACAACAGTAATTGGTGAAGTACTACATTTTGCAGCATTTGCACTGAATGAATTTTACAGGTCAACTTAAGTCCATTTCAAGGCAAAATGAATTTTACAAGCTAATTGTAAACTTCACTGTATCCTTGAAATTGACTAAGATTGCTTTTTGTATTTAAAGACTTTAGAGACTTTAAGTAAATTAAAATCCATTGTGTGGGGCATTTTCACTCTCTCCCCACAGTCATGGGTCCTCAGCTACAGATGGAGACTGAATGACAGGGACAGACTTTCCTCTTGCTTCTAGCAGCAAGGGTAGTTTCCTCCTTGCCTACTGACTTCAGCTGTGTGGTAGGAGAAGGCAGGAAATGTGGTAGGAGCATGCAAGCTGGCTCACTAAACATGCTGGACATTTCATGGTAGTAGAAGAGTGACCTGGTTAGTTTAACCAATATCTCTCTCATCTGGGTTCTACCATGTAAGAAGTGTTACCTTCCCAGGCATAGCAGAGTTTCAGTTCTCCTGCCAACTGAATCTCTGTGGCAAGACCCCCAAAGCTTGTAGCATGTGGGCCAGCTCCTACGTCCTCTCTACCCAGAG